AGTCATCTGAAGAACGAACCCAAACCTTGTTGTTTTTATTAATTGCATTACCAAATTGGTATCAAATAAACAGTAAGCATTGGTAACACAACTTCCAAAGTTACAGTAAAATAAAAAGGACCCTGACTCGGACAATACACAATCCAACATGTTCAACAGAAGATAATAAGTTATATTGTTTATACACATGGTTCTTTACATATATATCTGTTTGTTTAAAGTGTCCAGGTGATTCGACAGGCTGGACCAGAGAGTGAGAGACAGAACTGGACTCCTCACAGCAGTGAACTTCAGCACAGGTACAAATACTCTTTTTTCATACTGTACAAAGAATCAAGAAAGATATTGGTTTAAATAAATGAAGTATTGACTTTAATACACTGCTATACATTCCATTAAACAATACTAAATACTAGATCACCTACACATCAGTGAAGTTGAGGGTTTTTTCCATGCAAAGGGTTACATTTAGATGTTAACAAGCAATATGACTGTCAGCTTTCTAATTTAAGGTATTGAAGGCAAAGATATTTAACGCATAGTGACAACTGCTATTATCTCTCAATATTGTCTGTAAAAACGTGGTAAAAGTTATTCTTTCAGTGAGACAACAGAGCAAGCTTGTTTTAATAACAGTTAAATATTATTTTGATAATAAAATACATTTCAATGTTGATGAATTTCATACTGTTCATTCATAATCTGATTGTCTTTGTAGCTCACTGTTGAAATAAAAAAAAAACATTACAATTACAAAATAATTATATCTACAGCCCCTAAACACAAACACACCTCTTTCATAAATAACACACTTGTTCTGCAATAATATGCTTTATGTTTCCTGTAATCTTTGTTAGGAAAGGACATGCCTGAAAGACACGACTCAGCATCTCCTCTTTCTCCGAGGGTCAAGAAAAACATCCAATAGGAAAATTAAAAGCTGATGTTATGAGATGTTAAGACCAGTACAGGACATTCACTAAGAAACCATTTTTATTGTGAAAACACAGTCAGCTGATCGAATGCACCTATTTCCACATCTACACTCCATCAGCTGATTATTTCTATTTGCCTCACTTCATGAGCTTCACAACATGTACCTTGTACCACAGAGTTTGTAACGTAAATAAATGGGGCCAATCTTCAGTCGGATGTGAATGTGTAATCTAACATTTTCAGTAAGAATAATGGACAAAAGGAGTGCAAATACAAATTCAATTTATTGAAATGTGAACCAAAAGTTAATCAAACATGTTTTAAATAAAAAGCACATATGGACAGAAGGTGTAAACCTATTAAAAGTAAACACATTTAGTCAAATAAAGTGACAGACTAGGCCTGATCAGGTGGTATCAGCTATGCATGGGCTCCTCCATCAGGTCTGGTCCTCCTCGCTGAGGAAAGACCCTCAGTCTTCTCCAAACCAACAGACAGGACGTCCATCACACGGAGGTTTCTCCCTGAAGTCTCTGCAGCTCTCTGGACACCACGCTGTCTCAATCCATCCACACTGAATATGAGAGGGGAAAAATGAAAATAATAAATGCTTTAGACAATAAGAAATATAAAGTTGACTGTTGAGTTGCTCAGTTTTTTTAGATTGTCAATACTATTACTGTATAACTAATATCTCAGGTTAAGAGGCACCTTCAAATAAAGATTGGTCTTTAAATACATTTTGTCTTTTGAATTGTTTGTCTAAAGTCAAGGATCTAGAACTGGTACTTGTAGTTTTAATGATACAGTCTGGTTATAATGCTGTTTGGAGGAGGCCTCACAGGTAAGAGCACTAACTAGCTATCATCACATGTACCTTAGCTTAACTTAAATGTATTAAACGTATAATTAAGTGATGGCAAAATATAAATAACTAATGTCATGCAAACATATTAATATTTTTGCTTGATTCCAGTGTTGCATTTAGCACATTGTATACAAACGTTAAGGGATTTTAAGATTCTGAAGTATTATGCTAAAAACTCAACTTAGATTATTATTTATAGTTTTGCTGAATAGTTTCATGTCCGCTTACCTTAGAAACGTAAAATGCGACGGCAACTCTGCAGATGGTGAGCATGTTAGCTTAGCTTGGTAGCTTGAGCTAGCTCTGGAACTTCCAGCCCGGAGGCAACAGGTCCCGCCTCAGCTCCGCCTCTTTGCCCTTATTTGGAGCAGGCTGGAGCAGGCGGGAGTGGAACTCTGACGCCACTGTCGAGCCGTTAGTGGCCGACTCCGCCTACTAAGGGCTTCTCGGCAACTCTGCAGAATCCTATGGGTGACGTCACGGACCCTACGTCCATTTATATATACAGTCTATGGAAAAAACGAGCTGAATTTCCGTTTTTTCGTTTTGGGGCAAAATTGAAAAACAAAAAAACGACCCGTTTCTGCTCTTTTTTTTGTTTCAATTTGAACTAAAAAACAAACGGTTAAAACGTACCTTCGTCCATTTCAATGGGAGTTGTTCAAAATCCTTTTTTTTATATCAAGAATACAATTTGAACTAGTTCAAAATCCTTTTTTGATATCAGGAATTCTATTGTTACTAGTTATAATTCAATTTTTATTTATAACTAGTTGAAATTGAATTCTTGATATCAGAAATTGGTATTTTTACTAGTTCAAATTCCAACTCCCATTGAAATGAATGAGAAAAACGATGCAAATCTCACTAGTTACAATTGAATTTCTGATATCAAGAATTTGCATTCTAACTAGTTACAATTCTATTTTTGATATCAGAAATAAACATTATTACTAGTAAGAATAGATTTTTTGATATCCTCCAGAAATTAATAAAATCTAAATCGGCTTGCCATACAGTCGACGCCTCGTGCTTTTATTTTATGTTTTTATTTTGTACAGGCTAAAGACACTTTGATGACATTCCCATCTCAGACAACAACAAAAAAACTAAAACAGAAGAATATGTATTGTTCCTTTAATCCCACTAAAGGGGTTAGAGCTCATTGCAGTGTTGAGCCTTTGATTTGTTGTGGCAATCATTTTTTCCAAGATAAATTGTTTCTGCTGCACTATTTCTTAATGCTCCTAATTTCTTTAATTTTTGTACGGCACTTTGAATAGCAAACTTGTGTTGAAAGGTGCTATATTAATAAACTTGCCTTTGAACACCTCTGTTGAAGACACATGCTAAAAACTAGGTGATCACTGACCCTCAGACGAGGCATAATGTTTGTTGTCAAACACCTTTCGACCCTGTCAGGTTTAAACGCCTGTAGTTTGAACGTTGCAGCCTTTCAGTACCTTTGAGTGCATTGTGATTCCTCTTGTTCCTCAGTATTAATACAAAGTAGGCTGTACATTTTTGGAGTAACAACTTGTTTTGTAAACCTGATAACAGACATTTCTGACAGAAGATACTGTAGACACAATATTACAAAGTTATGGGCAAAGACTAGGAACCATAGAGTGATTCACCTTGCTTCTCCCTTCTGTCTGTCTGTACCTGTGTACTCTCATGTTCCGAATAACCCAGCTTCCCCCAAATGTCTTTTTGGTGTCTATCTACGCCGGGATCCTGAGTCGTGGCTGATCCTGAGTCCTGGATCCTGAGTCGTGGCTGATCCTGTTGCTGTGGTCCTGAGTCCTGGATCCTCTATCCTGAGTCCTGGATCCTCTATCCTGAGTCCTGATCTGAGTCCTGGATCCTCTATCCTGACTCCTGATCTGAGTCCTGGACTTCGAGTCGTGGCTGAACCTGTCTCTGTGGTCCTGCCTGACTCTCATCATACTACTTCCCTGATGGCTCCCACAGGATTGTTGACATCCTCGTGGATTCATCTTCTTATTATAGACACATGCATTTCCAAACATTTGGTCTACCTATGCTGTAAAATGTATTATCTCTTCAATTTACACACGGCATCTATTGCACGTCTGTCCGTCCTGGGAGGGGGATCCCTCCTCTGTTGCTCTCCCTGAGGTTTCTCACATGTTCCCCTTTAAACTGTGGGGTTTCTTTGGAAGTGTTTCCTTGTACGATGTGAGGGTCTAAGGACAGAGGGTGTCATATTGTCATACTGATATTCTGTACAAACTGTGAAGCCCACCCCCAATGTACCATTTGTGATATTGGGCTATATAAATAAACATTGATTGATTGATTGATTCCTTATGTGTAACAGTGATTATAAAAAGGATAAATTGGCATGGCAGGTTGGACCTTTATATGGTTGGATCCTGTACTCATGAAGCTCTAACTCTAACCAAAGATTTTGGCTCCCTCATGTGGAGGAATGATGGAGATTCAATTCAAGATTCAAGGGTTTTATTATCGTATGCACAGTAGCTACAAGTTAGGGAGCAGAGGAGCAAGTCAGTGCGACATCAGTTGTGAATGAAAAGAAACACGAGACACAAAGCAACAAGTCTCCCTGAAATGAATACATTACATTTTATACGATATATCCACACAAGCTTATGGTCTGTTTTGCCTAATGTTCATCTTCATTTTGCACAAGCTGGGAATTATTTGTGGTAATGTGGTGGCTCGATGAAATGTTTACAAAGCTTTAGTGTGATGGGCAGCTTGGTCTTCACTTGCTAGAAAGCGTTTTAAAAACAGACCATTATCCCTCCTGACCAACATCTTCTGGAGATTGTAAAGAACATTTGTTTTGGTCTGGCAATGTTTAGCACTGCCAATATTTGATTTAATATCATTTACTCCTTGTCAAAAATGTATAGAAGGTTTAGTGCGACATCTCCAGGTGACCAGGTAGTCTGTTTCTGCTCATGTTAAGGTGTGGTTGTGTTTAGTGTTGCCAAGTTCAGTTGACCAATCATATATTAGGCCAACAGTGAAAACACCCTCTCTGATGCATATGTGGTAACTGTGGCTGGGGTCCCCTTTAAATAGCTGACAACACCAACTCCTGTTGAGGGGATGGAGGAACCTGTGGACCCTCAATCTAAATTCGAAGTTGCTTTGCCGATGTTGGGGCTTCCCTTCACGAGGACAATAACAGAGGCATTCATGACCAAATAGAATGCAGCTTTATTTCACAAATATACATGTTAACATGTCAATGTTCAGCAGGTGTCAACGGGTAACAGGGTGAACATACTTTACACTATGACATGGTGGGTTTCCCCTCCTCAGATGGGCAGGTCTGGTCCACTAGGTCACAATGCCTGCTAACTGAGGGACACAAAGAGAACAAAAGCACGCACTACTCAAAGCACAACTTCTACAAAATGATTACAGTGAGAGTTAGTTTACTCACCCTTTTAAAGTGTCACCCGGTGCAGTCCCTACACTGAAAGCAGACAAGGTTCCCCCAGAGGGAGAGGAGCCTGTAACACAAGCACTTAGTCAATTATATTGCCCACAATCTGCACACTAGAGAACTATTGACAGAAAATAAAAATAAAAAGCACTAGAGGACAGTAGACTTTTAAAAAACAAACGCAACATAATAGTTGCCAGCTCAAACACCAATTCAATATACCATTAAAGAAGGTTAAAAACCAGGCTTACTTTGACAGAGTAATAGATCCTCCTGGCTCCATCCAGGAGGGGAAACGCTCATACTCAGCTCTATGGATTAAACACAAAAACAGATGTTATAAAGAATAATAAGAGCTAGAAGAAAGTGAGCAAACGTCCATAGCCAGTTTCCCGGGTTGCTCGGCTGGTTATGAGCACTTCTACACTCTGCAAAACACCTACAAGTTGCTTCAAAACTATGACAACTTGGAGTAAAACACCATATTAAACGGTGCGTACACTCAAAAGATGGCGTACGCTAGTTTCTACGCACTGTTTGCGATTTAAAAAAAACTAACTTCAGGGGGAAATGTGCGGTCCTCCACGCACACTCTGACCCATCCGTACGCGGTACGCACAACAACGGGAGAGACGAGAAACTGCGACACCGTTGGGCGAAGGAAGAATGGAGAGAAATATGTGGAAATAATACCATCAATAGAATGTTACCTCTCATTTATCATATATGAAGAATTACTTTGCAAAACTTGATTAAAGCCAATCTTAAAATGATGAAACAAACGCCTGTTTGAGACTCCTCAGTGCACACACACATTGGAGAAATACATAAATGTTATTGATCACCTCTCGATGTTCTCTTGTTAACAAATGTATTCCGTTAAATGATGCGGTAAGCAGAAGGACAGAATTACTTTAAACTGACGCCGTGTAGCTTTTCTATAAGTTAGATAGATACGAGCATGGTTTTATATACCATCATGTTTAAATCATGTTTTATGCCGTTCTTCAATACTTGATAAGTCGCTCGTAAAACACAGGAGGTACGGAAACTAAGAACACCGATGTGGTAAATTGTGCAGCTAATTTAACACAACACGTGTGTTTTATTTCATGTTAACTGGTGGATATAGAGTTGCTGCGAGGAGGGGGGGTTGAGACGCACAGGCTGCAGTGGAGACGCTGCGCACAGCTGATCGACAGCTGGAACACAAACCACCAAATACAAATTAATAATTCAGATCCAGTCGTCATGACTCCACTCCGGAGGGATTCCCCGATACTTTCTTACAGTTTCTCATCATGGGGGGGGGGTGTCTCCTGTCAACGGCACAAACACACTGACACACTGCCTGAGGAAGGTTATGTGTATTTTGTTTGTCATTAACTTTTTTCGGACCACTTATTTAGGTGACGATCCGACCTCCATGCTGCTACTCTGGTTCAAACTGCATCCACCAAACAATGTGATTTGTCTCCACCTCCCCAAAAGAACCAAAATCTGACTCGGTGTGAAATGTCTTTTTTAGCTGTTCTGTCGTCATTTCCTGCGATCTTCTTCATGATGAATATTAATACGGGGCGTTTTTTTGACTATGAATATTAATACGGGGCGCTTTTTTGACTATTTATAGGCAAAGATGGGCGTTACGTGAAGCCCGCAAAAGCTGCGCCGCATTTCGAGTTGATTGTGATTTATAAAATAGAGAAACCGGCAAGTCGCCGGTACGCTGTGTTTTATGAATCGGAAAATGTCTGTGCGTATTTATTTGCCTTGTCCTACGTAAGCCACCTTCCCACGTGAATCCTACGCAAAGCTTTATAAATGAGGCCCCAGGTCTCGTGCTTTGAATGTCTGAAGAGTTTCCCTCCATGATGGGAAAACGTATCTTGCCCTCGCCCTATCCAAACTGACCTGAGACCCTTCCATAGGTTCATTGAAAAGACCATAAAACCACCTTAAACCCGCGAGTCCTACCTTGAGGGAGATAACGGTGAGCGTGCCGTCCAGCCGAGAGAAAGGTTTTCTGAAACTGCCCGGAAAAACTTTTATAACTTACATTTTATCGGGCACCGGTCATGTGATCACGTCACGTGACAATGACGTCACATTCCCACACATATATAAGAAGCAGCCTGTCACTTGAAGCTTCACAATCTCCATCCTCTCCAACGGGTCAGTACAACTTTAACAGACAGAGACGGTGACATCATCATCAGCAGCATCATCATGCTGGGTTTCCTCTTCCTGTTGGGCCTGGCTCTGGGTGCTGTGTCTTCTTCAGATGAGCTCCATCAAGACACCTGTCCCTCCTACTGGTTCTCCTTCAACGGCCGCTGCTACAAGTACTTCAACACAAAGACGACCTGGGCTGATGCAGAGCTCTACTGTGTGTCCCAGGGAGGCAACCTGGTGTCTATCCACAGCAGAGAGGAAGAGGATTTTGTCAAATTCCTGATCAAAAGCTCTGACCCTAATGAGGGAGCAACATGGATCGGACTCCATGACATCGCCAAAGAAGGAAGATGGATGTGGTCTGATGGGTGTGCAGCCAAGTATTTCTTTTGGAATGCAGGACAACCAAACAACAGCGGACGAGGTGAAGACTGTGTACTCAACAACTGGAGGGGGAAGTGGAATGATGGGAAGTGTTCAAAAACTTTTCCCTCAGTTTGTGCATCTCGCACAACTTGTCCTTAGCAGCTGAGATGTTACGTGTTCACCTGTTTTGTTATGATAACAATAAAGACACAGATGTAAACTTATATGTGTGTGAACAGAAGTCCTTTTGTCTAACCTTTATTTTCATGAATGTTACATATTCACACTGGTTGCTCCAGGGGTTAATCAAAGGAATTATTTCTACACCTTTTTTAAATATCATCAATTCAGTCCTGCCTTCCTTGCTTGCTTGTTCAACTTTCGGCCAGACAGCCCTTCGTGCCTCCCTGTCTTCTTTGCTGAGGTCTTCTGCAAAGCGTATTTTGAGATGATCCAGGGGCGTATCTAGAACAATATTCATGGGGTGGCAGGAGATTTTGAGGGGTGGCATCCCCTGGCAGAAGTATATGCTGATTTAATCGCAGTCATATCAATCAATGTTAACTTGGAAATCAACAATATTGATATTTGACCTCAATAACAGGTGACATTATTGTGGCACATCAGTAAAGCCTTACATATAAATATAAAAGGTGGCAGATGACATTTAATGAATTTTAACTGAATGAGTTTGTTTCACTCTTAGACCAGCAGGGGTACCAAATCTATGAAGACTGCTGCAATAAGTAAATTAACTCTCTCATCGATTGAATGAATATGATAATCTTATTCCTATCAGCTGTCAATCACTGTTATGATTCACATATTCATTTATTATTGAATAAACTATATTTTTTGGAGGAGTTAATGATGAATGTTCCTCAAGATGCTTGCTCACCCTCCTTCAAATTTGAAAGACAAGTAATTACGATCTATCAAGATTCAAAAGAACAGTTCAGCGCCCCACGACTTTACTGCAAACAGTTACAACCTTGACTTTACATCAGAAAGAACAAACATTAAAGTGACTAACTGCATCAGTTAGGGTTAAACGTGTATTCAGCTCAAACACATCGCTGCAGTTATTATCCAGTGGAAAGCCCTTACCTGCTGGCAGTTAAATCAAAGTGGTTACTTTTTTTTGGCAGGGCAGTGTAGTTTTACACACCGTCTTATTTGACTTTCTCAGGACTTGAAACAGTTTTTTGGGGGCAGACCCCCACAAAGAAAAAAATATATACACACATACAAGGTCATCTTAACAGTTTTGTATGCTCATCCGTGAGCAGAGCATCAAGTTGACATAGGCCTAAACAAATGATTGTAGGCCTAGTGCATTCACCACGAATCATTTTTTGTGCCCACAACTTCAAACCTCTCCCTCAAGTAAGGCCATGGATGCGGGATGTCTTGCTGGAGGTCTGATGACTCGCCTCCTCGATGTTATCTTCATTTTCAGTCCTGTCGCTGACTGTACTAGCGTTACTCTTGGACATTATGCCGTTAACAATAACGTCTTGAAGTATGTTTTCCTGATCATACTTGAATACTTTTAATCAAGTACAATTTTCAATGCGGTACATTTTCTTACAATGTAGTATTCGTACTTCTACTTAAGTAAAGGATATGAATACTTCTTCCCCCACTCACTGATTGACTCACTTCATATTGAGCTCATAAAGCTCTTGCTATAAGGATCCAAGAATTTATATACAATAATGTCATTGTTAGCTAATGAATGTTTCCATGCTGAACAACGGCAACATGACAACGTTTTCATTGGTCCCTCTTCTTTAGAGAAGACCAGGAAATGATGGATACACGGATCGTGTTCAAATCAATAGGCACGCAATGACTCTAAATAATAATGATCACGCCACCAGACACACATTCAAACTAAAGGAACCAGCCTGTTTGGAAAATGTGAGAAGTAGAAAGTACAGGTATTTGTGTTCAACATGTGAGAAGTAGAAAGTACAGGTATTTGTGTTCAAAATGTAAGAAGTAGAAAGTACAGGTATTTGTGTTCAACATGTAAGAAGTAGAAAGTACAGGTATTTGTGTTCAACATGTAAGAAGTAGAAAGTACAGGTATTTGGGTTCAAAATGTAAGAAGTAGAAAGTAGGTATTTGTGTTCAAAATGTAAGAAGTAGAAAGTACAGGTATTTGGGTTCAACATGTAAGAAGTAGAAAGTACAGGTATTTGTGTTCAAAATGTAAGAAGTAGAAAGTACAGGTATTTGGGTTCAACATGTAAGAAGTAGAAAGTACAGGTATTTGTGTTCAAAATGTAAGAAGTAGAAAGTACAGGTATTTGTGTTCAACATGTAAGAAGTAGAAAGTACAGGTATTTGTGTTCAAAATGTAATAAGTAGAAAGTACAGGTATTTGGGTTCAACATGTAAGAAGTAGAAAGTACAGGTATTTGTGTTCAAAATGTAAGAAGTAGAAAGTACAGGTATTTGGGTTCAACATGTAAGAAGTAGAAAGTACAGGTATTTGTGTTCAACATGTAAGAAGTAGAAAGTACAGGTATTTGTGTTCAACATGTAAGAAGTAGAAAGTACAGGTATTTGTGTTCAAAATGTAAGAAGTAGAAAGTACAGGTATTTGGCCTTTTATGGTAAACTAGCAATATGACTTTTTCAGAGTTTCAGAGATGTTTTCCTATAAAATATGGTAAATAAATAGCTAGATTCATGGTAATATTACTAAATCTAGTGAGTCTCAGAGTGAAAGAGTGATAATAATTTATATAGCACCTTTCATGCATGGCATTCAGCCCAAAGTTGCACACAGATGAGCAAGTTAGGCCAACACAGGATGTAGACATTTGCTGTTAGGCCAGTGGTTTCTTGTTAGGCCAATTCAGCATATACAGTACGATGAGCAAGTCTTTCTTTTATTATGAAAAAGACTTAACATTACTTTTTTCCAAAACTTGTTTTTCAATTATAATTGATCTTTTATGAATATATCTGGTTGTATATATTGCTCATTTTCCATAAAAGAAACAAATGTATTTCAGTTTGTGTTTTATTTGAGTTTGATGCATACAAATACTGTACTGTATATGATGATTGTTGAAAATGCACTTTTACTAGAAGGCCAGCTCGACCAGTTGGTACAGGCTCATAAAAACAAAACTGTGTGATCAGTCAAAAAAAATTATAATTGTTTGTGGTTAGTTGTGGCCCATTTGATAAAAAAATGCAAACAAATAATTTTCCCATAGCTTTTTTCTTGGTCTGGCAGTTAAAGGGTTAATCTGAGAAAGTCTCATTTGAAAGATGCTTTTTGTTAAACCTATTCAGCAATTGTTGGTCAGCAAGATCTCCTAAATCAGAGCTGTGGTCTGTTCCTATTCAGTGTCATAGAAAGGCCTTGTGGCAGTCATTTGACTATTACCCTGTACATTATGCCCACACATCAAAACACATCTCTGCTCACTGTTATTAGAGCATTCGTATTGTATTATCTTCCTGATTGTATATAGTTTATTTTTGTGTTCATGTACCATGTTTAGAGCTTTAGTAAAGTGCAAGTGCGTTTTCAGAAGGAAACACTTGTGTGCTTTGGAGCTACATGCTGTAATGTAAAAGTACCTGTTGTGCCTTGTGGCCACTGGAGGGCAGCAGAGGAGCAAGTCAGTGCGACATCAGTTGTGAATGAGAAGAAACACAAAGCAACAAGTCTCCCCTGAAATGAATACATTATGTTTTATACGATATATCCACACAAGCTTATGGTCTGTTTTGCCTAATGTTCATCTTCATTTTGCACAAGCTGGGAATTATTTGTGGTAATGTGGTGGCTCGATGAAATGTTTACAAAGCTTTAGTGTGATGGGCAGCTTGGTCTTCACTTGCTAGAAAGCGTTTTAAAAACAGACCATTATCCCTCCTGACCAACATCATCTGGAGATTGTAAAGAACATTTGTTTTGGTCTGGCAATGTTTAGCACTGCCAATATTTGATTTAATATCATTTACTCCTTGTCAAAAATGTATAGAAGGTTTAGTGCGACATCTCCAGGTGACCAGGTAGTCTGTTTCTGCTCATGTTAAGGTGTGGTTGTGTTTAGTGTTGCCAAGTTCAGTTGACCAATCATATATTAGGCCAACAGTGAAAACACCCTCTCTGATGCATATGTGGTAACTGTGGCTGGGGTCCCCTTTAAATAGCTGACAACACCAACTCCTGTTGAGGGGATGGAGGAACCTGTGGACCCTCAATCTAAATTCGAAGTTGCTTTGCCGATGTTGGGGCTTCCCTTCACGAGGACAATAACAGAGGCATTCATGACCAAATAGAATGCAGCTTTATTTCACAAATATACATGTTAACATGTCAATGTTCAGCGGGTCAACGGGTAACAGGGTGAACATACTTTACACTATGACATGGTGGGTTTCCCCTCCTCAGATGGGCAGGTCTGGTCCACTAGGTCACAATGCCTGCTAACTGAGGGACACAAAGAGAACAAAAGCACGC